GGCCAAAATCCTTCCAAAACCTAAGGAAAATCAATGTTTTGTGCTTTCTCGCCTTTTCGCTCTTGGAGCAGTCTTGGGCCATCTTGGGCGTCCCAACGCGTCGCGGAACGCCCCGTCCAGGTCAGTGGGGAGGGGTAAGGGGAGGGGTAAACCCCTCCCCGAAGGGAAAGAAGGGGGGTTGGCAGAGGAAACTCTCTAGACCACCTACGCCCTAAAGGGCTGGTGGGATTCACTCAGATCCTGGACATAGCTGGCAGCTTGCTTGACGTGTTCAGGGCAATCTTCGCGCCGGACGGCGCTAAGCCTTGGACAATCATAAAATCGATGGTACAACGTGCCCCGTGCTCCACAATGGGCGCAACGGTCGTGGAGCGCCTTCCCGTGGTCATGCAGCCTGGCTTGGGGCCAATGGCTGCCTCCCACCAGCGATCGAATGGCAGAACACATGTGGGCTGTCCATCCCGCCGAATAGGATCTGTTCAACACGGCGGACACGGGCGCCCAGTGAAGAGGCGAAACCCAGGCACCTTCCAGGCGCCTGAGCGCTGCAACATCGGACGCCGCCATGGCAGCGTCGCGGACCAAATTCATGAAGAATCCAGGTGAATACTGCGGGATATCAAAATCTCCCCAAAATGGGTCCCCATAAACTGTGGCCGCAGGCGGTGTCGCGCCGACCCTGGCCAAGGAAAGCAATGCAGCCTGGGCGGGATCCACCACCTGGGACCAAGGCCGGGCCCGACCAAGGATAGCCTGACCGGCCTCCAAACAAGCTTCCAAGGGTCCGCGCCCAGGGAGAGGGGAAACGACCGACAGGGTCCAGTGCTTTATAACCTCTACGGCGTGGACCACCCATGGGTCCCTAGATGCACCTCTAGGCGTCGCTCGCAGCCGAAGGGCCACCGACGTCCCAGGAGGCACGGGGCCCTCCGCACGAAGGGCCGCGACTCGTAGAGAATGCAGTTTGTGATCGCCTAGGCCAGTGACAGCAGATCCCCAAACCGCCGTCGCCGTAGGAGAACCCCGCATTATCGTGCTGACACTGGCCCCGGCTTGTCTGAGCTGGACTACACGGGCGGAGACAGACTTGGCCTTAGCAAGCCTTTTATCTTGCTCCTGCACGCTGCGGCTGGCACCGCTGCTGGCGTCTGTCCCAAGACAGCGACCGGCATGCAATTTCTGAGCAGCATCTAGATCCCAGCGTTTCGCCAGGTCTGGATCAACATCGGGAGTGCTGGTCATATATCCAGTCTTATCCCAATTGACTTTGAGTTTCTTGTGTTCGAGGCCGGCCACTAAATCCATCATGGCCGATGGAAATTGCTCCACAATCTGCGCTCGACCACCGATCGCCTGAAGAAGAAAATCATCAACAAGGTTCTGGAACCTGACCTGCGGGTACTTCCGCTGGAGCTTTTTGATCAGTGTGTGCACTAGCAGCTTCGCTAATGCGAGCGCGTTGCTACAGCCTGCTGCTACCGTACCGTTGGCAACTAAAGGCTCTGAGATAATCGCCTCCCATACGGCTCTACGTGGGAGGCGATACCCAGCGCACAGACACTTCAGCAAACGAATGGGGAACCCCGTGAGCAGGGCCTCCTGGAAAAGATCTGCATGCGAGATGTGCTCATAATATTTGGATAAATCAAGCAGTCCGCTGACTGCAGTGAAACCCTTAAGCCTAGCAGATCGTTGCACTAAGTTGTGGACGTGGCCCGCGCGATCGCAGGTGGGGCCAGTCGAGCCCCAAAAAGCCGAGTTGTCCAATGAAAGCTCCCACCTGCGTGCAATAGGCTGCCGGAGCCTGGACCAGACCCTCCCCCATATAGACGAGAGAACGATGGGGCGGACTCCCCCGGCAGGGGCAGGCTTCCCAAGGAAAATGACAAGGAGAGTCCACAGGTCCAATGCTTCGGGGTCCTGCTCCCACCTAAGCAAGATGTCAATGAATGCCTGCTTATACAGACCCGGCAACCATAAAATCTGCCTGGGATACAATCGATCCCAACCTAATCCCGTGGAGGCGGGATAAGAAGTTAGCACTCTGTCTAAATCCTCGACGGTGATTTCTGGCAAAGCTTCCCAGGGATCCAAGGCACTAACAAGACCGAGGCCTTCGGAGACATCGGCCCGCGGCTCCAAACCAGCCAAAACCGAGGAAGCCAAATCAGGGCCCCAGTCCCGTGGGTGCTGCTCACCGTCGCGTCTGGGATTATTCCAGAGAGGCTCCCACTCTTCTAGCAAAATGTCCACTGCCTGCTGCCCCGCAGCCGGCATCGCAGGGACATCGTCGCCCCCTGGCACGGAGATCTGGGTGGCTGGGGTCGGTGCCCAAATGAAGGCGTAAGCAGCCTTCCCTCCCTTCTCCGCGGCAGCGGCCTGGGCCCATGCCCTCCAGGCAGCGCTCCTGGCCTGCCGATCCGCTGTCTGAAGGCCGTTGACGTGATCCCTCACCCCCTCCAGAAACTCCAACGCACCCCGCCCTCCGCCCCGGAGCAGACAGATAAGGTCAGAGATGGGGGAGGAGGCCCACGGCAGAAGTGGACCTTCCAATGGCCAAGAGATACAAAAGCGGGCAACAGTTTTGCACTGGCGCTCGAGGGCGGCCAGTCTTGGACAGCCCTGCTCCCAAGCATTGTGTGCGAGGCAATGGAGGCGCATGCACGCTGACAGAAAAGACGTCCAAGTGCGAAACTCCAGGGACGATCCCTGGCGAATGTCTTGCTTCCAAGCCGTCTCCAACGGCTGGTGCGCTACTTGGAACCCCTTGCTTCTACCTTGCCAGCTCGACTGACACCACGGTTGGATGTCATGGAGCTGTATAAGATATGATTCAACGTGATCCAGCCAGGCCTCACAAGCAGGCCCCAACTCAGAAGGCAACTCTGTACCGATCTGCCACGGCCACTCCCATGGCTCCGATTCCACGGGGGCGGGCCGGACTGGCAGCGGTTTCTCCGTGGGGAACTTTTTCGGGTAGATCGCTCTAGGAACCTTGGCCTGCCTGTGCAAGCCTTGGAAACGAAAGGCAACAGGACAGTGCGTCCGCGAAGGCGCCGCCTCTACCATCGCCACCTCCGCGACGAAGGGGGCGATCACGTTGCTGCAGATGGCGAAATCCAGCTCCCGGCTTCCGCACGTGGGCTCCCCCGAGCAGAGGACTCGTCCTTGCGCCTTCTTCGACCATGAATCCAACTCTGGCGGAGTCAGGTTCCAATCGCCTGCTATCACATCATAGCGGATACCCGATGCCCCAGAAAGGTCGCAGAAGTCATAGGCGAGCACGGTGAAGCCGTAATTCTCGACAAAATCGCGCATCCCCCGCTGGACTCAGTGAGTCCCGCTCCAGTGGACTCTGCCAGATGGAAGCTGTGGTAGAACCCCCTGTCCGATGACCATTTGTGAGCTTGGTTGACCTTGCCAGCCTCCTTGAGCCGATGCTCCTGTAGACAAAATACATCTGGGAAACGCAACTCGGCATCATGCCGTGCCCACTCCAGCATTGATTGCGCCGATGCCCACGTGCTGGAGTTGAAAGACCAAACCGTGAAAGACGAAGTACAATCATTACCCACGTTTGGGTTTCTTGGTAACCGACTGGATTCCATCAAGAAGTCGCTTGACAGCTGATGGGTCGGAGACGTCCACGCCTGCTGTCTTGAGATGCTCTTGGAGGTCGGGATCTTGGGCGTCCAATCCCATGGTATCGTCTGCTGGCGCTCCGCCAGCAGATGCTGGCTGAGCGCCGTCTGCAGCAGCGGCCCCAGCAGCAGCCCTACCACCTGCATCAGGCGGCCGAGCAGAGGCCTGCAGCTTGGCTTGGACCTCCGCCTCCTTCGCGTCGGCCATCGCGTTGAAACCTGAGATATCGAAGCCGAACCGCTTGCTCCCGCTTTCGAGGACCTGCTTGAGGAACACAAGGTGCTCAAGGTCCAGCTTCGGGTCGAGGTCGGCCTCGGGGCCGGCGACCGCGGGGAGCACCGTCTTGGCCTGGGCGGCCTTGACGTGCTTGTCGATGTCGGCGAGGGCGGCCCTGTGCCGCGCGAGCTGCTCCACCTCGGCGTCGTGGTCCTCGCGCGCCTTGCGCAAGACCTTCTCGGCCTCTGCGACACGCTCCTTGGCCGCCTCGATCTGCTTCTGCTTCTTGACCTGCCGCTGCAAGAGGTCCTGCAGGCTCTTCTTCGACAGGTCGGCCGGGGCAGACTCGGCAGCTTGGGCCTCGGCCAAGGAGTTCCGCACCTCACCAAGGACCCGAGACTCCTTAGCCACGCCTCGCTTCTCGAGGAGAGCCAAGAGCTGGTCGTTGATGAACTTGTCCTCGTCGGGCCACTCCTGCACGGGCTGCTGCTGAGCGGTCCGCGGGTTGTGGACCGAGGTCCGAGGTGGCCCCCGACTCCATTCACCTTGCGGCGCCCGCACTTGCCCAGCCTTGGGCTGCCGGCGCTGCTGGTTGAGGATGTGCTGGGGAGCCTTGCCGCCGCACCGCCAGCACTCCGAGCGGAAGCCGAAGTTCTGGAAGCGGCACGCATGGGCGCGGCACGTCCACACCTTGATGTGTTGCGCCTGCCCATGGCTTGCCATGAACGGATCACTGAAGGTTGGCTCTGGCCCGCTGCGCCACTTCCAAGTGCGCGGACCAAAAGGTTGCTGATTCAGCTCGAAACCTGGGGGAGGAGGAGGAGGAGGAGGAGGAGGAGGAGGAGGAGGAGGAGGAGGAGCAGGAGCAGGAGCAGGAGCAAGCAGGAGCAGGAGGAGGAGTAGGAGGAGGAGGTGGGAGGAGGAGGAGGAGGAGGAGGAGGAGGAGGAGGAGGCGGGAGGAGGAGGAGGAGGAGCAGGAGGAGGAGGAGGAGGAGGAGGAGCAGGAGCAGGAGGAAGAGGAGGAGGAGGAGGAGGAGGAGGAGGAGGAGGAGGAGGAGGAGGGGAGGAGGAGGAGGCGGAGGAGGAGGAGGAGGAGCAGGAGGAGGAGGAGGAGGGAGGAGGAGGAGGGCGCGCGCGCCCGCAGCTCGGTGCTCGAGAGCTCCGCGTCCCCGCGCGTTCACGTGGCCCACAGCCCCGCAGCCCGAGGCCACAGGAGCTCCACGGTGCCCAGCGGCCGGTGGCTGCTGCGGAGCCCCCGGCAGCCCCCGTCCGCAGGCCGCGCCGCGGTGCCGAGGGTCCGCGTGCCTCCGCCGCCGTCGCGCCGTTCGGGGAAGCGTGAGGCTCGATCAGGGCGCGCGTGCCCTCAGATCTTCGGCGGCGGCGCGTCGTCGGCTGTCGTCGTCATTGTCGTCGTGGCCGTCGTCGTCGTCGTCGTCGTCGTCGTCGTCGTCCTTTGTCCTCGTCCCCGTCCCCTCCCCGGCCTCGTCCTCGTCGCCGTCATCGGCGTCGGCGTCGTTCTCGTCGCCTAGGTTCGCCCCGCCGTTGGGGGGCTCACGTACCCTCAGATCTGGCCGCTGCATTTTTTCACCACGGCCGTTCTCTTCCAGCTTCGGGCCTGGGGCCCCTCACAGATCGATCGGGCTGGGAAGATGGCGCAGCAGATGGGGTCTGGAGCTCAGTTTTTTTTGTTTTTGTTTTTGTTTTTGCGGTGCCGCATTTTTTCCCAACCATCCTGCGTTGTTGGGTCCTCGTTTTGAAAAGACAACACCCCGCATCCACTCACTCCTCACTCACTCCTCCCCCTCCTCCCTCCTCCCATTCCTGTCTCTGCTCTCACGCGTGCCGTCATCACCATTAGAAATCGTCATCTTTATCGCCATCGCCATCATCCACATTGTCATCAGCATCGTGCATCTGCCCTCCGCATGTTAATTTGGGAAAGAGCGTGTTCTACCGCTGCTGGCGGAAAACCGGGGGGGGTCACTAATTACCGGTTCGAACCCCCCCCCCCCCCCCCCCCCCCCCCCCCCCCCCTCCGGAAAACGGGGGGGTACACTACCGGTTCGAAACCCTTCCCCCCCCCCCCCCCCCCCCCCTGCTCATCATGAAAAAAGGGGGGGGGGTCACTACCGGTTCGAACCCCTTCCCCCCCCCCCACCGGATCCGGGGAAAACCGGGGGTGGGTCACTACCGGTTCGAACCCCCCCCCCTCGAAAACCGAGTGGGGGTGCGGACAGTGGTGGGGCGGTGTTGGTGGGGACAGTGGTGAGGGGATAGCGGGACAGTGGTGGGGACAGTGGGACAGTGGGACAGTGGTGGGGGCGGTAGTGGTGGGGACAGTGGTGGGCACAATGGTGGGAACAGGGGGGGACAGTGGACAGTGGTGGTGACGGTGGTGGTGGGGACAGTGGTGTGGGGACAATGGGAATGAGGTGGAAACAGTGGGACAGTGGAGGGTACAATGGTGGTGGGGACAGTGGTGAAGGCGGTGGCGAGGACGGCGGTGGGACAATGGGACAGAGGTACAGCGGGGACAGTGGTGGGGACAGTGGGGACAGTGGTGGGAACAGTGGGACAGCTCAGTGGGACAGCGGAGGAGTCAGTGGGACAGTGGGGACAGTGGGGATAGTCGGGCAGTGGTTGGGGCCGTGGAGACAGTGGGGAGAGTGGAACCGTGGTGGGAACAGTTCTGGGGACAGCGGGGACAGTGCGACAGTGGTGGGGCCACTGGTGGGGACAGTAGGGGCGGTGGTGGAACCAGTGGGGACAGCGGTGGTGAGGACAGTGGTGCTGGGAACACCAGTGGTGGATCTGATGCGGACGGTGGTGGGGACCGGGAGTAGTCGTTGCTGGCGGTGAGTAGGGGGGGGGGGGGGGGGGGGGGGTGGGGTTCGAACGTAGTGACCCCCCCCGGTTTTCCGGATCCGGAGGGGGGGGGGGGGGGGGGGGGGGGAGGGGTTCGAAACGGTAGTGACCCCCCCCGGTTTTCGAGCGGGAGGGGGGCGGGGGGGGGGGGTTAGGGGAGGGGGGGGTTTTTGCCGGGGAAGGGGGGGTGGGGGGGGGGAGTGGTTCAGCAGGGGGGGGGGATTTTCGGAGGGGGGGGGGGGGGGCGACCCCCGGGTTCCGGAAGAAAAGGTTGGCAATTTTCCACAGTAAAGCGGCGGTGGATCATGCTCTCTCTAATTTGGGGACACCACTCACAGGTTTCTTGGGCCCATAGAGATCTCCAGCTTAGGCCCCAATGGGTGTGGCCACATGCGTGCGCCACACACTTTTCGGCACATACCTCACGCGCTTCGTGGCCCCATCCACCGAAAGCCCCAGCGGCAGGGTCCGCATGCGTCTTCCCGCCCATTTTGGCGCACCCCTCATACGAGTCGTGGCCCCATGAGGAGCTCCACCGAAAGCCCCAGTGGCAGGGTCCTCATGCGTTTCCCCGCCCATTTTGGCACACCCCTCACGTGGTTCGTGGCCCCATGGGGAGTTCCACCGAAGGCACCAGTGATAGGTCCGCATGCGCCCCCCCCGTCCATTCCGGCACACCCAGCACATGCTTCGTGGCCCCGTTGGAAGCTCCAGCGAAGGCACCAGTGGCAGGGTCCGCATGCGTCCCCTCGCCCGTTTAGGCACACCCATCACACGCTTCGGGGCCCCAGAAGGGGGCCCCACCGAAGGTCCCAGCGGTAGGTTCCTCATGCGTCCTCCTGTCCATTACAGCACACCCCTCACACACGCTTCGTGGCCCCATAGGGAGCTCTACCGAAGGCCCCAGTGGCAGAGTCCGCATGCCTTCCCCCGTCCACTTCGGGACACCCCTCACATGTTGCTTGGCTTTGTATGGGAGCTCCAGCGAAGTCTCCAGTGGCGGTGTTTGCATGCGTCCCTGCCGCCCAGTTGGGACACTCCTCGCACGCTTCGCGGCCCCATGGGAAGCTCCATCGAAGACGATGCTCACAATTGCCTTACTCACAATTGCATATGGTTGGGTCCTTCGCCAGGCTCATTTTGCAGCGTTGGGTCTCAGGGCAACAGGATTCAGCGCAAACGGGGCTCAGCCAGAAAGCCAGATGTTGCAGGATCCTGCAACGCCAGAGTTTGGCGGAACCGTGTTTGGGAGACGCTCGCGGCCCTCGAGGTGGCCCCATCGAGGATGACGGCGAGGACGACGACGACTACGAGGACGACGACGACGACGACGACCACGACGACGACGACGATGACGACGGCGACGATGAGGACGACGACGACGGTGGCGGCGACGACGACGACGACGACGACGATTACGCCCAGAAAAAATGGAGCGCAGTTTTTCCTACAGCGGCTGAGCCGTGTTTGCGCTGAGCCGGGTCACTGCGTCTTTCGATCCGAAGAGCAGAACGCGGCATCACCATAAGCTTTCGACGGTCCGCGCGGATTTCTTGCACGGGCGTCTGGGCTCCCCTGGCGGCGCCTCCATCGACGCCCCTGCCGCGCTCGGCGCGCCAGGGAGGGGGGTCCAGCGCCGATCCAAGAAATTCGTGCGGATCTTCCAAGGTATGGTGATGCCGTTTTTGTTCCTCGATAGTCGGGCCTTCGTGGAAAGAAGCACGTTGACCATGACCAAGTTGGAGCGGGATCTTGTCGGCGCCGATCTTTCTCATGGTCCATGCCAGCCGTCGCCGATTCGCGAGAATGATCCATGAATCGACGCTGTCCGAGATGGCCGGTGAACAAGATCGGCACGACGGTCCGTTTTCAGTCTTGGTCATGGTCCCCGTTTTCCTTCCCTCCAGGCTTGCCGACGTCCTTTGACGGGCCCGCCCCGACTTCTGACTGACGTCCCGATTTTTTCGTGGGACCTCTGCAGCGGCAGCTGGCGTCAAATGTCAGGCCAGGTGTCGTCATCGTCTTGGCGGCTCTTGCCAGGCCAGCCCCCGGTGGCTCAAAGATGGGGTCCTGAGGGATGGGATCCGCAGAGGACGAGGTGCCTCAAACAGTGTGTTTCCACGCTTCAAGCCCTCCCTATCCTGAGGACCCCATCCCTCAGGATCCCATTTCTGAGCCACCGAAGCTCGAGTCCCCCTGGACCCGAGTCTCACGCACCCCTTTGGACGTTGCGTCACGGGGGGCGATGCACGGGGTGGGGCAGCGAGGGCTGCAGAAAAGGGGCCCTCTAGGGTTAAGTTGGGCATGTCCCTCTACAGGAGGAGCATTCAAATTGGTCGAAACATATTCAGAGAACTGTTTTTGGTTGTTTTATTTTCCTGATTGTGGTTGTTGATGTTGATGTTGAGGTTGATGTTGATGTTGTTGTTGTTGTTGTTGTTGTTGTTGTTGTTGTTGCTGTTGTTGTTGCTGTTGTTGTTGAGTTCTCATTGCTGAAGAATAATTATTGTTGATTCATCCCTCTGGTGACCATTGTGCTTTTTCAATTGAAGTGCTTCCCCCGGGGCCCGCACCATGTTTTCAATCGGGGAAAGGCACGGGGCTCAAACTGAGTTGTTGGCCTCCAGTTTACAACAACAACGGCTCCTGCCTGAGACTTCCTCACAATTCTTCCCCAATCGCGCTCTCGCGCGGGATTTCCTCACAATTCATGTGCGCATCGCGCTCTCGCGTGGGATTTCCTCGCAATTTATTCAGACAATGCGCCCTCGGCGCTCAGGTATCATGCTCTCGCTTATTGGCTTTCTCAAGATTTACTTGGGAATCGCGCTATCACTCGAGACTTCTTCGCGATTCATGCAGGACCCACGCTTCAGCAACCCGCCTGCTCGACCTCGTCGCTTGGGCCAGCCTTCCCGACCTGCCCGCTAGGGGTCTGCCCACCCGATCTGCCCGTCTGGTTCTACCACTTGTTTTCTGCTCCTTGCCCCCCTCCTGCCAATTTCTCTCGTGCTCCATTCTTCTTTCCCCCCCTTCCACCCGTCCTCTCTTCCCTTGTTTTAGGGGCTGCATTACATGCACGTGGCAGGTAAGGAAGATATACCCCCCAAGATGGTAAGATCGAAGACGACGAGGATTTTGGATATACGTATTGATTGGCACGTGAGCAGATAGAAGCGAGCAGTCTTATACTGATAGTCGCTGTTGTTGTTACTGTTGTTGCTGTTGTTGTTGCTGTTGCCGTTTCCGTTGTTGTTGTCGTTGTTGTTGTTGTGGTTGTTGTTGTTGTTGTTGTTGTTGTTGTTGTTGTTGTTGTTGTTTGTGTTGTTGTTGCTGTTGTTGCTGTTGTTGTGGGTGTGGTGGTTGTTGTTGCTGATGTTGTTGTTGTGGTTGTTGTTGTTGTAATTGTTGTTGGTGTTGTTGTTGTTGTTGTTATGGTTGTTGTTCGTATTGCTGTTATTGTTG